GAAAAGGCTGTCAACTGAACACTGAAATTATACGAAGGTGCGTTTCGACGATTTCATAATACGTACAAACACTATTGCTCATATTTTGCGTCGGACCATGGTCAAGGAAGTGACAAAAAACATATACACAAATACATCCTTACCTTGATATCTTGTTCTTGCAAGTGCGATTTCTTTTGCTGCGTGAAAGTGAAAACGATGCTCGTGTGATTTGGTCAAAGCGAATTTTGAGGGGTGCAAGTCTCTTTGTGTTTGCTCCAGCTCCGTATTTCCTCAACCTGACCGTGACCACGATGAGTTGTCTAGTTTGTGATTGGCTCTTACAAACTGTCAGTGCAGAGCCCGCCCCTTGATTTCCTCAGGGCGCGTTCGACTCGGCTATTCGATTAGGTCTGACGTCATTCTCAGGGCAGCCAGGGCTCACCCTATGGTGGAACAAAAATGCTTACGATAGCAGTTGGGTGACTCGGGGAAGCTACTCAAACGCATGCATCCTCATTGAACACGCGGGCATGTCGCTCCCACCCGTCTTTAAACACTTTCCATTGGATTTCCAGCAAATGGAAGAATCTGCAACAAACCTGGTTTGTGATTGGACCTTGTTTGTTGTCAACCAGACGTCCCTTAATGTTGTTGTACGGGGCAATGAAACAAATCGTCTTTTGGCTCTTAAGTTAATCTCTCCGGCAAATTAATAAGCATCCGTCGATAACGCTGAATTCAGAGCACATACGCGCGTGCATAGCTTGAATGCAGCGCGTGTGAGGTATGCTCGATATTTTCGGATCCACGTGCCAAACTTCCAAAAATCAAAATCCAGTCTAAGACTAAGACTAACCCAGTAGTCGTGTACGCCATTTGGATTTTTTTTCTAAAATGTTGTTTCGTTTTGTTTGTTTGTTGTTGGGTTTTGTCCCCTCTCGTCGCTTATTTAGTCAATCTTTCGCGGCAAAGGTGCCGAATTGCGTTTTAAATATCACGGTTACGTGTAGGGTGGTGTGACCCTACGGTGGTGAGTCCGCTTAACTGTTAATTAAGGATTAACCTCTTTGGCAAATGAGAAAGGCATCTTTGGAGATAAACCAGAATCAACTCCAAGAATTAGATTTGAATGATTTATTTCTAATTAACAATAAATGAGTTGATATACAGAAAATCGATTATTGCTCTACGAGTCAGAATCAGCAATAAATGAGTTGATATACAGAAAATCGATTATTGCTCTACGAGTCAGAATCAACAATAAATGAGTTGATATACAGAAAATCGATTATTGCTTACGAGTCCGAGTCTTGAAAGAAATCCTGAAGTCGACTTCATAACGTACCCATTATACTTTTATTACCCTATAAGTAGGATTGCAGTTTTAAATAATGTGTGATTCAAATATGGTTTGTAGCCATGCAGGCCGTTACAGATAAAGGACAAGAATCCAACTTGAAAACTAGTATGACGAACATGGAGCGCCGAGGGCGCCCTCTCTCCGACAAGTTAACCTCTGACTAATACAGGATTTGTGAACTTTGACTGCTTTATTCTCATTCCTGTGTCGTGGGTGGACCACATGAGGAAAAACTGAAAAACAAGAAATACAAGGAAAATACACTAAGTACAATTAACAATGGGCACGAATTTACACAGGTTGGCAAGAGATTTAACACTAAAAAAACAGACATAAAAATATAAATGAACTATTGAAAGATCAAAAAGTAATATGTCAACTGATACATGTATAAGAATCATCGCAAAGGTAAGTGCATAATATCATCTCAAAAACTCCAAGGGATAGTACATTCACATTAGACAATCTATGAAAATTAACCTACAGAACTGTGCTCTCCAAAAGATGAAGTGTCCTCAAACTTCCTATGGGTCTGGAATACTGAAATCAGCAACCTAAAACAAAGAAAAATGCATAGTTCCTAAATACACTGTAAACCTTGCAGCACTACTGCAATTTCCAAATAAGGATACGCTAATCCCAAATATGGAATCCAGCTCATGAATATTCATAACATCGTGGAAACAATGGGAGAGCATGTGCTTAGGCAGGTCTCGTGTGCACACAAAAACTAAGTTCCTAACCTTATATAACATTCCAAAATCGTCGATATGAAAACATAAAATGACGAAATATCCACTGTTTCTTGACCACAAAAACAATACTGAACATTGCAGTCAGTTCATCTGAGAAACCGGCCTCGATATTGAGGGAAATTCTAAGGCACAAAATCAGGGAAAGTTTTCGCAAGGCACAAGAAAATTATCGATGCGATACAGAAAATCATGCTGGCAAAATGTGACTGAAAATTACGATACAAATTACTCATCAAATAATGATCAATAATCACTAACACAAGTATAAATGGAATCTTAAACTCACCAGTGGTCTTCTAGTGTAAGGCTATCGGAATAGAGTGGTCTCAAAAAGATGGAAAAATGGGCACTAAAATGGAATAAAACTTGGCGTGACTGAACAATTGTGTAACTTGAGCGAAAAACTACGAGGACCACGAGAGGGCGCAATACTACGTTATCGCAACTCACACTACCAGGGGTGAACATAACAACTAGGATAATATAATGAGCTACTACAATTAATAATGGACAATAGTACTAATAGTGCACTAGTACAATGGGCTACTACAATGGTGTAGTACAATGGGTTCTTAGTAAATGGGTTACTACAATGGCAATAATAGCCCAGTAGTAATGGGCTAGGCCTTCAGCAGACATCTTTGAGCTGTTGTAATACTTTTACTAAGGCTGTATTCTGTCTCTTCCAACATTTCTTGCTATTTTCTTGTAACATTTTCTGTTAAACTCTTGTTGAATGTGTAATGGTTGTAACCTCAGTGTTTATACAAAGGGTTTTAATAACAAGACATGTATACGTGTACATACAAACTGGAAGGGAAATCTTTGTTGTACATTTTCAAAGAGTGATTTCACTGTGGAGGGAACGAGCGACGGTAAATTACTATTTCATCATATCTTCTTTATTTGGGGGGGGGGGGACAACAAAATGACTGTGAAACAAACATCTCCAGTGATGTACCTATGATACGTAACTTAATTTGTACAATTCATTTAACGATCTGGATCTATTTTATAGATTATTGTTTAAAGAACTGTTGAATTGGCCCAATAAAGTTGGTAAAGAGCTGACTGAAGCGTCTAGACACAGTCATGACAAACAATATTGAGTTGGATGGGTTATTAGTCTTGTTCCCAGACAAAATACAGTGTATTCAAAAATCCAAAAAAAAGAAAAGAAATTCTTAATATGTACGAAAGATACCGAATGCAATTTTATTTACAAAATACATCAATTCTTTGCTTGCATTTAAAAAGCTCAACGCCTCGTGTATTACCCAGAATGTTCAATGTTGGCTTTGGGCCTCAAAGTATTCATACAGGGGTTGGGCATTGATGCGTCATGTTCTGTTTTTGAATGTGATGGCTGCCTGACCTAAGATTTGTCAGAATAGTCGGAATATTTTGGTCTGGGAACTGGTTATTCCGATGCAAAAGAGAGTCAAGAAAATTATCATAGGTTCAGTCTCCAAATTTGTTGACTACAACAATTATTTTATCAGTGATTAATAAAAAGTAACAAACCAGTGACAAGAAGGGGGGGGGGGGGAACAGGACCCTGCACCGGAGGCCTGTACCTCCCCCTTCCCCATTGTGCCCCCCTTCCCCATTGTACCCCCTAGACAATTAGGCCCCTAATTTCCCCATAGGACTCCCATGCACTTGGGCTACTGTAACCAACATGATGAGTTCCAGGTTTCAAACATCGCCACCCTTCCAGATGAGCTTAGACGAGGATGCAAGTTTCACAAGATTGTTATCCATTGTTACAGTATTGATCACCTAGTAAAAGTAAATTTGTTTCAGGCCTGGTGCATATAGAATTAAGCAGGTTCATTTAGAAATTCCATTTCGGGGAGGGGGATAGGGAAGGGCGGGTGGGTGGGTGAAGATGAGAGGGACTAATAGCCTTGACCGATAAGGGGCAAACCGTATAAATTGTTAAAAATTTAATAAGTTATTATCGAGGAAGAAATGCGTAACATTTCCCCCTCCCCTCCCCGTACTGGCTTTATTAACAGTTCCGGAAGTCCGTCAATAGAGGGCGTCCTTTATTAGAGCGGAGCCGTAATGCGCCTATGATATGAGTTTTGCCTGAGGGGTAGAGATTATTTTGTCATTTCGTGACAATCCCCATGTCTAGGGTGGGGCAGCTCGGGGGGGGGGGGGGGGACAATTGATAGGCGTATAAAGAGGTGCATGTGATAATCACCGCGAAAATACGAGGGCTACGGCCAGCTGCAGCAGTGGCGGATCCAAGAGTGGTTTGGCCTTTTTGAGCAAATCGAAGGGGATTGTTGGAGTGGCTAACCACCTCTCCCCCCCCCCCCCCCAACTTACCAAAATGTTAATTATTTACTGAAACAAAATTTCCTTAAATTTCCCGCATGATATTGTCATATGTATTGCAAATCTCGATTTATTGCTTGGTGTTTACAACGTCTCATCCTACCTCCCCCTAAAAAAGCTTGGACTTATTGTACCCAGCCCCCCCCCCCACCCTCCGGGAATATCTTAGTTCTGATCTGCCAATGCATTGAGTGCCAGAGTCATTGTATATTACAGACTGCATATATAGGCAGACCTGTCACGGTATGGGAATGTTACATGGGTATCTAGAGGGCCAGGGCGTGGTCGAAAAAGGGGGTTCAAACGCGACTCTATGATTATTAAGGCCCACACAATGCATGCTTTTGAAAAACGCGTACACATTGATGCTACGTTATGCTTCTCCAAAAGCCGCCATAAAGGTGATAGAATTCAGGTATTGATCGTTAATTGGACGTCTTAGGTCGAGGCTGCAGTCAAGTCCAAGTTGAAACAAGTATAAACACCGGCGGACCAAGAAAATAATTTTGAGAAAGGGGGGGGGGTGGAAAGACGGTGGCAAACAGTAAACATGCTCATATTGAAAGATTAACTGCTTTTATTTCTTTTTAATCTAATTGGCCAGTGTTCTATAGCGATCCACACGATTTTCCTTTTACTGTTATAATGACATTCACTGTCAAAATATTTCAGTTAGTGTTTCTTCGTGAACAAAAGATTATTAATCATGGAAACAGAGTTTGATACTCTTATCATAGTTTAACCTAACTGTGCGCTCCATTGTCACTATCCATTGGCAACACCTTTTGAACTTTATGCTAAACATTTATTTGTACACCCTAATATTATTCGAGAAAAGCACGATTGTTCTTGGTCTTATTAATTATTCATTGTTTTAAATTGCTGATGCTTACAAACTTTAATTATCCTCATTCGTTTCTCAATGGTATAGTTTACTAATCAACCACTGGTTGGAATAGTCTGTCACCTGAAACACAGCATTCCATTTAACATTACAAGTGATATGTGAACCAGTTTGAAAAAAGGTTAATTTGTGCGCTAGCGAGAAACGCCTTTTTCCACAGATCATGTTATATCAATTGAAAAAAAAATAAACGTTAGAAACTCCAAAGCCAGTTTTGCTTATGTTCCAGCGAGAAACACCAAATTGATTAGGCAACTAAATACGCTATAGAGCAACTACTTTTCTATCGTATGCTTTCCAATAAATGTACTTATAAAGCTATTAATGATTATATAAAGTTAATCAAATTAATTTTTCAGCGACTACTACTTGTTCAGCTAATTAAGCCATTACGTCTGTATGCCGAACTGAACTGAACTTTCACGGGCCATTGACCCAAGTAGGTCGGGGCGTGCATGTACATGTATACCTAGTTTGCGTACAGCAGAAACCCGGTGAACGAAGTGAAATTAGCAGAAGTACCGTGAACAGCGCCACTCAATGATAAATAAACCTGATCATCTGGCACCAACGACATCACTGAGCTGCTGCTCAGTTGATGGTATCCTAGAGTGTTATCATGAACTGTCACAGTTCGCTCTGTGTTTTTATACAATGTCACGTAAATACTGTTCGAGTCATGTGTTTTCAAGACTGAAAACATAAAGGCGTAGATGCCAGGTACTGCGCACGTGAAAGTGCCCGTGGGTAAGTTGAAATTTGCCCCTATGTCGAACACGGTCTTATCGAAGATCAGGCGGCCGCCTGAGGCACTGTATCTTGTGATTCTCGCAACGGTGAATGCTACTTGAGAGGCACTTGCGGCGGGTTCGCCTTGTTGTCCCATCGGGCCCGTGGGTCCTGGGTCTCCCTTCTCCCCTTTCGGACCAGACAGTCCCGCAGGTCCTTGCTGGCCAGGCTGGCCCACAACTTGCTCCCCTGTCTCGCCTGGTGCGCCCACCGAGCCCTTGTCTCCCTTGTCCCCTTTCAGACCGACCTCCCCCGGGGTCCCGAGCTCCCCCTTGGGACCCATGGGCCCCTGGGGTGCGGGTACAGCTGGGATACCCGGCACTCCGGGGGTACCGTGTTGACAGCAGGAGTAGCAAGGCGTTTCATCGGAAGGCGCGGTGCAGTTGACCGACGGCACGCTCTGGCTCAGTATCGACCACAACAATACAACGACCGCTGTCAGCTTCATCTACATTGCAAAACAAACAGTCACAAAGCTTGTCAAACAAGCAGATCAATCAATTTTTTTAATGCTTTTATTTGAAAGTGTGGTAAGAATGGAGGGAAAATAGTGACATTTGAAAAAAAAACCAAATTTCGGCTAAGAAGGCCTTTGTAAAATTGTTACTAGCATCTCAATTTATGGAAACTGAAAACGTGAAAGAGAAATATCGTGCCAAAAGTTGACCTCTCACCTCCGAAAATCTCAAATAAACATGTGGACTAATGGAACTCGGAGCACTCGTACAAAGATGAACATTTATTAAATAATTTTGTGGTAGTCACTGGATAAAAACTGAAGCTTAAATAAGAGACGAACATGTCTTTTAGGATATACCATTTTTCTAAAATAAACTTTAAGGACTCATTAACATTTACAAAAAAAAATCTAAAATGACCTCTGATAAGAACTGCATTCAAGCCAACCTATCGGCTGTATAGGTGGGTAAATCTTAGATTCGTTATACACTTTGTTCTCACGCAAGAACGTGATGTAAAAACAACCGTGAAAATGCCGGATGTGAAAGGTCGTAAGTAAAATTCGTTTTTACCCATCTCCAAGCGATTCTCATCATTTTTTTCTTGAGAAATACCAAAATAAAATTCCCAACATGAACGTTTCTTGGGGTGATTACTGTTAGAAATCATTCCGTCCACAAATTATAGCAAGAGAAAGGGCAACCTAGTGTCAACTGCCCATAGAAGGGACGCAGAGGGGTCTGGGAGCTCGCCGCGTGACCTTCTACTTTTAGGCTCTCTATTCACAAGTGACAATCAGTAAATTAGTGCAAGAGACCAGCAGCAAGTCTAATTCATAACTGATTAGCGAGTAGGTGGGTACTCATAAATTTTAACAAAACAAGAAGGTCGGTCCCTATATATAGGACCAGCAAAATATCTTAAGGAAGTATTGTTATTTGTCTCGTTTGTTTCTTTTTCTTTTTTACTTTAACTGAGTCTTATTTTTGTTTGTTTTACACAGCGCCATCGTGACCTGTTTCTGCGCTTTCGTTTCGTCCGGAAAGATAAGTTTAACTGAGACCGTTACACCTAGATCAACCCTTCCATTTGCGCACGCCGTCATGCATGGTCATACTTCCATGGCTATGCTCTTTGGAAATGTTTTGCAAGGTCTGCGTTTCCTTCTTAAGAATGTTGTGTATGAGATTCTTACTGATCTCTGCATGTGTAAAACTCTGGACGGCCCATGGCTGTTGAAGTGAAAGCACCACTTAAGACGCCTTGCAACCAAGACTATCACCACTGCATTACGCGGTGGATACGAGGGAAATGCCAAAACGCATATACACATCAGGAACTTCTGTTATTCGTCTCTTTGTATGGAATTTCTCTGAATGGGTCTTATCTCCCAAAACACCCGCTTCATCCACCATATGTTATATTCTTATTTTTAAGTCAGCTCACTTCCTGCTGTAATCAAGTGTGGCAAAACATTTACGGAGGAAGTGGACGATCAAAGATTGAGCTAATAACCAAACCTCTCCCTGCGTGTGCCCTTGAGATAAAACTAAAATTCTTCCACACTGTTCAATGTTTTCGTTTGCGAACTCAAAGCAGTACATGCACTGTGTCAGTGGTCCCTTTTCTTGTCATATTATTCTATAATATGACTTTGAAATTCGTCTATATCTGCATCTGATAGAATCATTTACAATATTCTTTGTGACACGGCGCTGCTGCTTCATGTCACTATTTGAACAATTTGAAAGTTGCTCTATCCATGCTATGCAACGTATTCGATTTTTCCTCCTGAAGAATTTTTGATAGGCATGTGATTTTTATTTCAACGGAAAATGCTCAGGCTACCTTTTATATATTAGACATTTCAACCAAAATACGTTTTTATGCTGGGTTTCTTATGCGCATATAACGCACAAAAAATAATCCTGAATATCATTTATTGTCTGGCTGCATGATAATTCGACATTTGTAAAATAAATACTCCTAACTAAACGTGGGCAGATTTGTTGTTCATGTCTCATGCAAAGGGAATGACGATTGTATTACATGTACTAGAAAAATAGGAATTTGAAAGGAAAATCTAATTTCAGGGTGAAACTCGCAAATAGCGCGGGAGAGCAACTTTCAGCTTCTGAAAATTGGAACCTTAAAATGGAGCTCATTTCAATAAGCTTGCTTATGTCCTGGCCATTGCGTACTAAAAAACACTTAAAAGACATAATACGATCATTTTGCATTTATCCCAAAAGTAACCTACGTAATTGTTACCACTAAAAAAAGCTTACTTGTATTAAATATCGCACTGGTATTGTTTGGGGGAAATAACGAGTGCTATGGACACAATCGTGCTTCGTGATCAAAAGGTTGTGCATGGTTTTTCGCTGTGATATCCACTGGGCTGAAACTTCCAACAGGTTATAGGTTTTCAACTGAACATTGAAATTATACGAAGGTGGGTTTCGAGGATTTCATAATACGTACAAACACTATTGCTCACTCACAATTTGAGTCGGACCATGGTCGGTCGAACCACTGCAGGTCAAGGAAGTGACAAAAACATATACACAAATGCATCCTTACCTTGATATCTTGTTCTTGCAAGTGCGACTTCTTTTGCTGCGTGAAAGTGAAAACGATGCTCGTGTGATTTGGTCAAAGCGAATTTTGAGGAGTGCAAGTCTCTTTGTGTTTGTTCCAGCTCCGTATTTCCTTAACCTGACCGTGACCACAATGAGTTGTCTAGTGTGTGATTGCATGGCTCTTACAAACTGTCAGTCCAGAGCCCGCCCCTTGATTTCCTCAGTGTGCGTTCGACTCGGCTATTCGATTAGGTCTGACGTCATTCTCAGGGCTCACCCTTTGGTGGAATTAAGACAAAAATGCGTACGATAGCAGCTGGGTGACAAGGCTCGGGGAAGCTACTCGAACACGTGCGTCCTACTAGTGTTCATTCGTTTTGAACGTACGCAAGACGGGCATTTACGTTTCAGCCAATGGAGAGCTTTGCTTGCCACGCTCCACCCACAGTTACCGCCCACCGTGACCGTCCACTGCCTTACTTTTATTATTCAAATTGTTTGCTGCATGCAAGAGGATTCCAACTCGTTGAGCGGTACAAAAATCTAAATAACAAAAGAGGATCTCTTACAAAGAAAGCTGTCTGACACAATACCTGCTGAATCTCTCTATCGAAGCAATTTTGCAAGTACATGTACATTGTACATGATGTGTTTTGAACAAAATCTAGTCGGTAAAGCAAACAGAATTACGCACGTAATTAGTTTAGTGCAGGTATATGAATTCAAACTGCAGGGAGTCCTCTCAGCATTTAAGCCTACTGTATATACTGCCTTTAGTCATGGATCCCGTGGCCACAATCATGTTCCTTTCTATGTTATTACTTTCTGTTATTGATAAGTGTACCCCCTGTTGATTTTTTTCTCGACGAAGAGCTGGCTTTTCTTTGGAATTATTTCAACATTCTGTTTATGGGTTTTCTCTGCACGGGCATATTTTGTTTGCCTGCACCTTTTTACCAAGATTGCGCTACAATATAAACTATTCTGAAGGCTTACGTAGGGGTACAGCATACAGTCAGTATTCAGATTAACAATGCACTTGGAATGTAAGGAAAGAAAAAGGCTAAGGCAGAGTACGAGCGCTATACATGTAGACACCATTATAAAGGTTTACGTAGGGTACAGTCAGTATTCAGATTAACAATACACTTGAAACGCAAGGAAAGAATAAGGCTAAGGCAGGGTACGAGCGCTACAATAGACACTATTATAAGGGCTTACGTAGGGTACAGTCAGTATTCAGATTTACAATACACTTGGCACGTAAGGAAAGAATAAGGCTAAGGCAGGGTACGAGCGCTACAATGGAAACTATGTAGGATTAAAAAGGCTTATACGTAGGGAACAGTCAGAATTCAGATTAACAATACACTCGGAACGCAAGGAAATAATAAGGCTAAGGCAGGGTACGAGCGCTACTTAGAAAAACAATAAAAACGGTACATAGGATTATAAATGTTACGCAGGGTACAGTCAGTATTCAGATTAACAAGACATATACATTTGTATGCCTGTTAAAGCTAAAGGCCACGTACCGTTGGGTACTGTCACTCTGAAAGCAAGACGAAAGTGAGGCACGAAATGGGGGACGTTCGACAAATGTGCCCGTGTGAATATCAATGATGAGGAGAGGGCACCTGTTTTAAATGCATATCGCCATAAGTTTATAAACAAAGAAGAGGTTTATGGAGTAAATCATTAGTTTATAGAGTAAATCACAAATGTTTAACGACGCTGAAAAAAAAGTTTGGCTCATTACGTTTAAAATTAACCTTAACTGAATCTCCAATAAAAAGAAATATTTGTATGTACCGTATTTTTATCATATTCTTTTCATAACTAAAAACGAATAAAACTGCTGCAAACTGTTTAAAGAGTGCATTGACCTGAAACTACAATAAAAAAAACTAAGCTGACCCATGTTTCGGCAAGTCCTTCAATTTTTTATTTATAATTATTTATTTATAATACATGTGATATAATCGATAACAATCTTTTATTTTGTTAATTTCAGTTTTTATTTATCGGAGATTATACGATAGAGCTTCAAAGAAACAGAGATTTGTTTGTGTTTACTTTTATTGACAGGAAAAAGGGTTGACAAACTTTGTCGAAAGATTTCAACATGAGTTTGAGTTGTACGTGCACTATAGTATCCTATACACGTATACACGTACATGTACAACATTTCCAGTGCTTTTCTTCATCACGTCATATGTCGCCTATAGGTACAGCACTATACAACTCCACTTTATGGTTCCCGATCCTGCCACTTAGAATGTTCTTTTGTTATGTTGAAATTTGTACCGCTCAACGACTTGTAATCCTCTTGCATTGTTATCGTGATTAATAGAAGCGCCGAACAATTTGAATAATAAAAGTAAGGCGGTGGACGGTCACGGTGGGCGGTAACTGTGGGTGGAGCGTGGCAAGCACAGCTTTTCATTGGCTGAGACGTAAATGCCCGTCATGCGTACGTTCAAAACGAATGAACACTAGTGAAATGTAGAGTGGGCGGACATAAGAGATTAAGTGACTATGATAGGTTGGGTAATCAAATGTGATTAAAGGTGCGAGCAGAGGATTATGTTCGCAAATCCTCTTGTTAGCAATAGCATGCTTTCGTGCCTTGCTGTTGGGCACTCTTCAGTTGCAAATAGGTGATTCAAAAAAGAATCGAAGCGGAAAAGTTGTGGTTGGGATTGGTTATATTCCAATCATGTATCGTAAGTTTGAAGTGTTGTGGTTACAACCATGTGATTTTAGTTGGCTTTTAGACATTGTTAATCTCTTTCATTTGGTAGTTGTTTGAGTAAGAAACTATCTTCCTACCGTGTGCGGTATCGGAAAAACACGTTGTGTTTCGTTGTTTTGTTTCTTGATTTTGTTAATACGAATGCATATTTATGTGGAGATGGTACTTTTTCTTTCCCAAATGTGGGTTGTTTATTTTGTTTGTACCATTCAATGTTGAGATTGATTTATGATTTTTTGGGGAGGCCAATACTGTTTTGAACCCTTTGTTTTGGGGTTAAGTTTGTGGGTTTTTGTCTTGTTTTGTGTTGTTTGGTGTAAAATGGGTATAGTTATCCGTCTGCGGATAATTTGTATGTCCATTTATCAAGTGCTTATGCTTCTGCTAGCATAGCGTTTTTGTTGTTGTTATAACAAATACAGATAATGTTTTCCGTATGCGGAAATATGGTTGTTGGTTTTCCGAATTGAAGTGTACATGTGGTGGAACGTGAGATATTGTGTCTCGTGTGTGGCAGACTGATTGTTACAAGTCTGTGGATGTACTTGAAGTACTGAGAAACAGAGATAGAAGCAACCTGAAGATACCTCGCTTGTTAATCAAGACGGTATTCTCGGGCAGTTTTTGATGGCCATCGACCCACAATACCCCGGGGTGGGGCAAGGAGTATAACATAGAAGTTTGGAAAAGGGATGGCACTATCCCATTCAGTGACACTTCTTCTCTGGTGACTTGTATGGCTTAGTATGGGTTGTAAGCATGACTGAGTCTTTGCCGGTTATGTCCGAGTGAAATGTAGAGTGGGCGGACATAAGAGATTAAGTGACTATGATAGGTTGGGTAATCGAATGTGATTAAAGGTGCGAGCAGAGGATTATGTTCGCAAATCCTCTTGTTAGCAAAAAAACCTGGTTTCTATACAAGATTCGTTTCTATACATGATTCGGAGAACATGATGTATTTAAAGGGAATATACAACATTTGCAAACATCGAAAAATAAAACTACCAAGTTTTTACGAAATACCTTACTAGGATGTTGGTAAATGACAGTCTCAAGCAAATTATGGCACCTGGTGTGAAGTCATTTTCAAGAAAATGGTATTTTTGTAAACATTTCCAACGGTGGTCGGCCGACCAGCGTTGGAAAAACCTAACTATTTTTCAACTACTGCTCCAAATTTACCATTTTTTTCATTGGTTACATGTTCATGAACGGGTGCAGGCCAGCTAGACTGGTTCCCTTGCCTTACAATCTTCCATCATCTATAAATTGATCCATTTTATCTTTTGTGGAGTCAGGGAACCAGACTACTTGAACATTTTTGTTTTTCTTGGTTTTTCCAACCTTTTCGAATACCAAACTTAAAAAATTTCAGTGTAACAATATTTGATCTATTATACTAACCTCTCAAATAGTTCATTTCTGAAAATTACAGCAAAAGCCAATGATGCACATTCCCTTTAAGTGGATACATTATATAAAATACTGAAGGTTTAAGGTGAAAATTACACTTATTGTCTGCACTATTAAAATGGTCCGTAAATTTACGGACTCCGTAAAGTGAAATATTCCGTATTTTCGGCGTAATTTTACGGAGTTTCCGTAAATGCAAATATTAATTATGCTAATTAGCGTGATTACAATCAACCACATCGGCCCAAACACCTACACATAACAGTACATCCAAGTAGGCCTACATATTGTTATTTCACATAGAACCGTGTACACATGTCCAAACTCATGTTAAGGGTCTGTTTATTTTACGGAATGAAAAAACATTTCCGGAAATGTTGCTGCCAGCAAAAAAATAGCGTTCCGTATTCCTGCAGCAAAATTTCTGGATTCATGGGCGTCGCGGGGGGGGGGGGCAAGGGGGCGCTTTCCCCCCTCCCCCCCCCGGCCCCCGGAAAAGCAAACAAACAAAAAAAGGAAGAAAAAAAAAAGAAAAAAAGAAAAGAAAAAGGGGCGCAAAGTCATAGCGGTGTAAATTTAATGAGTTGTGGGGGGGGGGGGAATGTCCCTGCCCCCCTCTAATACTGATAAATCGAGAATTTGTTGAGAAATAAAAGACATTTTTGGGAAAAAATATGTTTTGCCCCCCTCTAGAAAAAATCCTGGCGACGCCCATGTGTGGATTTATTCAGATCAGTAAGAATTAGGCATTTGTTTGGTTGATTTAAAGCATAAAGAACCAAAGGGGTCAGAATGAAGGTCCACGGAATTGATGTTTGTACAGAAATAGGGCCGCCACTAAGTTTTCATTTTATATTAGCCATAGCAAGGAATCAATAAACGAACACTTTCAAACCCTTTCCAACCTATCTGGAGTTATCTCAGCCCTATATTTTATCATTGGGTTGTTGTAATAGGGCTGGAGAAAACTTTCAACACGGACTAGTATTTTTAAAAATTGAATTTTAAAATGTGCCATTTTGTCCCCGTGACACACTAAAACTGGACTCACTCAAACCTGGTCAGGCATAGCCACTACACAGGTCCGTGAAGAAAATAACGAGCCACGATGAAAATTCAGCCTACACTTGCAGTGAAAAAGGAGGCATACCATGTACTGACAGCGTAATTTTTATTCCTAGGAGGGTTAGGGGCAATGTCATGAATAATTCATGTTTATCCATGAGAACGGATAATGACATCAACAGCATTGTTGTTAGTTACTCAACTAGTTACAATACATTAAAGCATTTTAAAGAACGGTTGTCGTCGAGCTACCACACAGTAGCCTAGTGGATAGCGAGATGAGCTATGGATACAAACAGTATCATACAAAGATCCCTGGTTCGAATCCACGTCGTTGCTGCTCATTTTCATTAGCTATTTTTCTTCTCCAAATTTATCACTGAGATAATTTTAAATTAAGGGGAAAATAGAACGAGAACCTAAGTCTTGCAATGATTCCAAGGAAAAACTGAATTATTCATGAAATTGCCCCTAACCCTCCTAGGAAAAAAAATTACGCGTACTGACAGCCAATCAAGTTATCTTCGCTGGCCGCGTATTTTTTGGGGGGCAAAATACATCGTATTTTAACCAATCACATCACGCAGCCTAACATGAATATTTATCACGCTGTGTGGATGAAAGACACTCAGATTCTCGTAGTGTTTTCCCTTCAATTTGCTACAACAAACAGAGCATGAACTTTCGCACGTATGGCTACTCCGAAATATATATAAAAAGCTAATATATTTGCTGGCATTTTAGTTTTGAAACAACGTCGCCAGCCTTGTACCATCTGTTGATTCTAACATCTGGTGGTTTTTTTTTTATGACGACCGAGAGATAAATCGTCTCCACGCTTCGACTTCGACAGTGAGTACGCGCAGTACACTTTGTTGCGTTAAAACAACTTACCCATATTCTTGGACGGCAACATATAGGGCCTGGCGGATTCAAGGGCGGATCCAGAACACAATTTGGGGGGGGGGGCCAAAAAAAATTTTGGTTCCCAAAAAAGTGGGTCAAAAAAATTACGGCGTGGGGTTCGGGGCCCGCTTAAGGGCCCCGAATTTTTTTTTGATTCTAGATGCTCTGTGGTGCGATCTGAGGCAATTTCTGACCACTTTAACCAATGTTTTTTTGAGGAAAAGATGGTGGTGTACTCATTGCCTGCCTTTATTGAGATGTCACATAAAAAAAAAAAAATTGGTTTCGGTTTTTTTTTTGGGGGGGGGGGGGGCCATGGCCCCCTTTGCCCCCCCCCCCTGGATCCGCCCTTGGGCGGATTCATACAAAATAATAGGACATCTTATTTTTGACCATGTTATAATGAAAGATGACTCACTACAGAAATAGAAATTGTTCTCGTACGGCAGGAATGCTTACGCACCTTTTGCCAGCAGCATGCTTCCATGTGGTTCAATGTCAGGGGAGGATCCAGCTTTTATGAAACAGGAGATGAAGGGGGTTGAGCAAAGGCGTACCGGAGGGGCGCCTTGCTAGGGGAGGGGTGGTTCCAGGGACATGCCCCCCAATATATATTTTTTGAAAAATACGATGCTTCTCCTGCATTCTCAAGTTATTTTAGAACATATAGGAGCCTTATCATTCCATTTATTATTTTTGGCTAATATATCAACGTTAGTCAGCGACTGAACGGGGAGTTGCAACCCTCCAACCGCCTCCCCTCGAGATCCACCATTGAATACCCCACTGAATTGTATTGCATTGTCCCACTAAATTTTTCTGCATTTCATCCACTTCCCCCTGAAGTCTCTCCACTAGTTCTTCCCCCTGCACTCCTTGATCCACAAGTTGCGCTCCCAACAATGTGCCTCTACATGTAAAGTCAGTCTTTAAAGTGTTTGAAGTGGGCGCATAAACTGCCAGAAACAATACACCGAGGGGCCCTCGATAGCTAGGTCTATGTATACATAATTTCAAATAATATTTAGCTCTTTTGTTACCAATGGCGTAAATCTGTGCCGGCGAGCGGGGGGGGGGGGGGGGGGGGATGGGGGGATCATTATCCAAAAATTTCCCGGCCGTTGAAATTTGAAAAGCGCGGGGGGGGGGGGGGGGGGTGGACACCACATTACACAAGGGGGCGCTCTTCAGGATGTATATCAATGTGTGTATTCGCGCTTACAGCAAAACGGCACATTTTAAAAGCTTGTGTACTTTCTTTCTTCACCTTTCAGTGCTATTGAATACATTTGGGTTGTTGGGATGTTCGACAATCACCTCAAAATCCGCATTGTTTTCTTTCGTTGCGAAAAAGTGGGGGGTGGGGGGGCCTGGTCAAAAAGTGGGGGGGGGGGGGGATACCCCCCGGATTTACGCCCCTGCTAGTAATTCTGAGCTGTGGGCTCTTGAGGGATGGGTGTTTAGGGGGCGGGGGCTCTGCCCCAAACGACCCTCCCGCCCCATTGCATAATTTAAAAAAATATATGTCAAACCTTAGTAAAGTTTGATGAACTTCATGCTTGTAGTTCTCACATGTGGGAAGTAGATTCGTATTATGCCCAGGGTCAACTGACAATAATTAGGTAAGGGCTCACTTCAAATATGCCTATTTATAAGTGTGTCAGCGTATCTGCATGAGCTTTGGAGGCAAAAGGGTAAGTAGAGTGTATCATTTTACGCTAACATAATGTCTTTACCATGCCAAAGTTGAAAATGTATTTTATAAAGTCAAATGCGAAATGCAGGGACCACGTGAAGAATCATTTGGACGCCAAATCGACCGTGGGAAAGCCAGCAACTTTGTCAAGACACGCATTGAGACTGAATCGATTCTACACATCTAATCTTGAAAGTCTAGTATACACCTCAACCATCGTTGCAATGGCACCAATGAACAAGTCTTCAGATTTTGGAATGGAAATGTTCGATCAAAGCAAACAATCTAACAAGAATGCAGTGTTTTGGCGTTGGTTTGTGGCAGGGACACTGCTGAACCTGTGCATCACATCGGTCCTGGTTGGCCTGACTGTGTTCTACGTCCACACGGAGCTAAAGTCAGTAAGGGTGAGTAAAGACTGATTTGTAAACCTGGATGTTTTGTTTTTATTTTGATGTGTTTTAAATAAACCGAAGAAATGAACTGAATATTACTTTTAAGTACACATATTAACTGAGCTTAAACGAGTATTGGGATTGCAGAATATATCAAATATTGAATAATTATTAATCTAAAAAAAAAGTAGATCCGTATATATTTTAAACTATCGAACTTGAAAATTACTGTCAGTGAGGTCGTATCTTATAGGGGGTGGTTCTTCAATTTTCTATTCTGTAATCATAGATGACTGCTAAAAATATCCTGAGCTGTCTCAGCAATGCGCTCCTGCAGCTGTGATCTGTATTTTAAAAAGGGGAGTAAGACATTGTCGAAGATGCGTTGCATTTAACGATGCATTGTGAACAAATGAATTAATTTTTCGATTATTTTTCAAAGTTTATCATCGCCTGCCAAATTGCGTCATCGCGTACGGTTGTTTATCAGCCAACACACTGCAACTTTAGCACAAGAACGATCAACGATTAACGTTTCTGGAACCATTTTTTTAGTCATTGAAAAACAAAATGTCTCCGAGGAGAACGCCACACTACTGCCTACCTCCAGCTTTCTTGATAATTATTTCATCATCTTTTGTTCTTTTTTGCCTTTTGCCATAAGAATGGATTTTATAGCCTTGCTTAGGTTGATTTCTATATTTAAAAAACACTGGATTCTCTCTGCTGACTATTTAACTTTCGATATTTCAACACATCATCTTGTGTCTGTTCTTTCAGCAACAAATAGCGAGCAACGAAGATCGTTTGTCATTAGTCGAGAAGGCCATGCCACAAGGAACACCTGACCCGACTTCGACGAATGCCCAACTGCGAATTCGAAGGGACCAAGGCAATCCCCTGCCAGTCAGCCACACCGTCAATCAAAATGTGACGTTCCCATTTGCGTGGGACATTGGTAAAGGAATTTTGAACCTTTTGAAAAAGGAAACAATTCTTGAATCAAACCACTGTTTATTTTAGAAGTTACCCAAGATGCTGACAAGTTGACCAGAAATATACAAATCACAGAGGGTGCAGGAACATTATGATATTTGTAGAATCCTTCCAAAATATGGAGAGAAACAAATCCATTTTGCTCAAAGATCAAACGTCATGCCTCTTCCATTAACGTTGCGATTAACAAGTTGAACTGTTATCGTTATTTGATATTATTGGATTTTTTTTTAAAGTTCTTTTGTAGTAATTGTTATTCGTTTGTTTTTCGTTTTCTTCCAAAAATCAAGGGCGTTTTGGATATGGAGGCTGTCGTGACGGTAGGGACGGGCGTGATGGACGAGATGGAATTCAGGGCCCAGCAGGCCAGCAAGGCCCAAAAGGAGTCAAAGGTGAACCGGTAAGAATCCCAATCAAACATTACTTAGGCATTATCCAGTTGCCAAAGAAATTTCGATAAACTACTTCAAAGTAACGACCTTGGCAGATTTGTGGCGGCAATACGAGCGATTTACAACAAACTGCACTATACAAACCGTTTGTCCCAAAGCTACTGTTTTTAACATCATTGTTGACATCCTGCCTATACAAACCCCTTTGAATTGTGTACTTACATTACCAAGCGCAAACAGGTACTTTTAGAAGCCTCACAAATAAACGTGTTATCTATTTTCACACATACTAGAAGCTTATAATCACTATACTCATCACCGCCCCTCCCCCAAACTCAGCCCAATTATTGGCGTAACGGTGTAATCCTAATCGATAGCGCTGCCCGGCTGACAAATGACAGTCAGTCGGGTGTTTTAGTCCGTGCAACGTATAGTTACACAAATGCTTTCGTTTGCGTAATTTTTTTTCCTAGGAGGGTTAGGGGCAATGTCATGAATAATTCAGTTTTTCCTTTGAATCATTGCAAGACTTAGGTTCTCGTTCTATTTTTCCCTTAATTTAAAATTATCGCAGTGATAAATTTGGAGAAGAAAAATAGCTGATGAAAATGAGCAGCGACGACGTGGATTCGAACCAGGGATATTTGTATCCATAGCTCATCTCGCTATCCACTAGGCTACTGTGTGGTAGCTCGACGACAACCGTTCTTTAAAATGCTTTAATGTATTGTAACTAGTTGAGTAACTAACAACAATGCTGTTGATGTCATTGTCCGTTCTCATGGATAAACATGAATTATTCATGACATTGCCCCTAACCCTCCTAGGAATAAAAATTACGCCTTCCGTTTGTGTCCGCAGATTCAAAAACTCTAACGGACTCGACTCTCACCCTTGTTCTACTTATATTCCTATCAAGTCTAAGACGGAAGCTTGATTTGTTTAATTCGGTGTCAAACAATCATGTATTTATTCGGCAGGGTTTACCAGGTGCTGCAGGAAAAGCCGGACCCAGAGGGCTGAAGGGAGACTCAGAGGACACGGGTTCGTTTCGCCATTGTTATATTACATTTAATTCAAAATGAGAGATCCAAAAACCGTCGGATTTGGAAATGCGCTTTCTGGCTCTTTAAAGGGAATGTACATCATTGGCTTTTGCTGTAATTTTCAGAAATTTTTAAGGTATTATTTTTAAGGTTTTTAAACTATTTAAGGGGTTAGTATAATAGATCAAATATTGTTTAAGTGACATGTTTGAAGTTTTGTGTTCGAAAATGCTTGAAAACCAAGAAAAACAAAAATTGATTAAGTAGTCTGGTTTCCTGACTCCACTAAAGATAAAATGGATCAATTTATAGATGTCGGAAAATTGTAAGGTAAGGGAACCAGTCTAGCTGGCCTGCACCCGTTCATGAACATGTAACCAATAGCAAACAAAATTTGGACTGATAAAAATTGTAAATTTGGAGCAGTAGTTCAAAAATAGTTAGGTTTTTCCAACGGTGGTCGGCCGACCACCGTTGGAAATGTATACAAAAATATCATTTTCTTGAAAATGACTTGACACCAGGTGCCGTAATTTTACAGGATGCTTTAGACTGTCATTTACCAACATCCTAGTAAAGTATTTCGTAAAAACTTGGTAGTTTAATTTTTTGATGTTTGCAAATGTTGTATATTCCCTTTAACAAACTTTGGTTTTTCCTGACAAAAAATGCACACTTTATTTTGACAAAAAAAACCTACGTTTTTCTATATGAGGCGTTTGCGACCATCTGAAAACAAATTCTGGGTTGTTTTTGTACACAAGCGGCTCCGACGAATAAGTAGACTGGTTCCCGCTCTCTTCATTATCGATCCTGATAGGGAGGCAGGAACTCTGCAAGATCTGAATTATCGTCGGGCTGCAAATAATTCGAACTTTGTGGAGTAAATATTACATTAACTAAACTGTGGGCCGATATTTGTTTTCGCGATGTCTGTTAACACAAAAATCTATGTTCCGGGTGAGCGTGAGAATAGCTCGAACAATACTTATAACCATCAGGTTTCAAGTGGGCGTCGCAAGGGAAAGGCATGTCACTATACATGTCACTTGGTGGTCGGTCTGTCTGTCTGTCTGCCTGTCCCGAAAATGGACAAAAATTATGGTGTTCCATATGCGCCATGGCGTCGCATTTTTCGGCGTCGCATTTTCCAGCTCTGACCGGGATCATTTTGATCGATTTCATGCAAGACTTTCATGCAACACTTCATGCAACACGGCCAGAGCTTGTGCACTCGCACTTGTTTGCAGTTAAATGGGTACAAATCATGACGTTTCATTGACAAGATTTTAAAAGGCTTTTTACTCAAAGCGATGAATTCGGGATAAGTGTGTTGACTTGGATCACATAATGATTTTGGTAAATCTCAACCCCTTTCTACAATTATACCTGATAATTCTTTTTAGAGCCACGTGACCACCGTGACAACCGAATGCTGTTAGGGGGAGAAACTTACGTCCGATGGGGGCGCACTATCTGCCCCAATCACACAAGCACGGAACTGGTGTACGCAGGTAGGCCTGGCAAAGATATTAACAAAGATGTTGGCTTAGCAAAGAGCTTTTTAAAAGAAAATATTGCTTAGCAAATAGTTTCTGTTTAGGAGTGGACACAAACTGATTATTTAGGGCGCTGTTCAAGGTGCATGATTTGGGTTGCCCTATTTGTTGGAGATTATTTTCTGACCCACAATGTTTTGAGCAGGAAGAATTTCTTGTCCACATAAAATGATTAATGTTTGGGGAGGGGTGACACTTTCAACACGTCCGCACACTTTAGGGATACCATTCATTGCCGTTCTCTTAAACGTTTCCTTTTTATTGCAACGAATATATTTAATCCCATTGAAGGCTTCGCAACCGGTTCGCATTACACCCAAAAAGGCGGCTCCGTGGATTTTATCTGCCTTCCCACTAATCCTGACTGGGCGGCATCTTACAACGACGGGTTTAACTCACATTCGTATCTGTACGGAACAGAGTACGAGGTAAGCAACTACGATCCGTTCTCCCACGAGAACGCCGAGGTCCTTCACGACCATGACGTCCCGTGCGCCGTGTGCCGCCTCGTGGATCGCGGGACCCAGCACCTGTTCCCGGCCAAGCTCGGCTGTCCGGAAACCTGGACGGAGGAGTACAGAGGCTTCCTCATGTCTGGATATCACAGCCATGAGCAGCGGTCCAAAGCCGTGTGCGTGGACCAAGCCCCGGAGGTGGTCTCTGGTAGTCACGCTAGCCAAGACGGAGCACTATTGTACATCATAGAGGGGGTCTGCGTGCCCCTCCATTGCCCTCCGTACGTCAACGGGCGTGAAATAACCTGTACCGTCTGCAGCATCTAAGGCGGCTGACATGTCACTCTATAGTCGATAGTATTGTGCCGACGTCTGGGAAATGATGACTGGAAGTGGACCTCATGGTCTAGAGTAACATTATTTGCTGTTCGTCTCTTTGACATGATGTGCACTTGCGCAGTTGTAATGCTTGCAGTTGTCATGCTTGTAATGCTTATAGTTATCATATAGATATAGATTTGGAGTTCGTTCAAATACCAGAAAACAATTTCTAAAAGCCTGAGTATTGGCTACAAGCACCCCATAATGATTATTAGCCTATATTAGCGCTGTTTGTTTTGTGTTAAGTCGTTGATATTTTTACCCAAACCAAGGGTAGCGCCCTCCTAGTGCGTCGGCCATACCTCAAATAGTCTATGAAGATTAACATTTTACCTCGCAGTTAATATGGCTGACTCGTAGACAAAGTCTATTGAAAATCGTGATGTGTACATGGGCTGGTGAAACTTGTTTATTTCTGCAGGAATATGGACTCCGTGTATAAGCACGCCCTCAACGGTAATAAAAAGAAAGTTGGGAGGGACCATTGGGAGGGATTCTAGAACCGATTGCCGATGTGTTCCCTCATACTGAAGTTCTCGTGAGTGGTGACGAAGCGCCATCTATTGCTCATGCACGGAGTCCATAATACGCAGAGGCTCAGTTAATAACGATGATCTTTACATCGTGCCAGAAACGTCGATCCAGTTAAACTTCTTTGCTTTGCATTCAAATCTTAACAATGTGTATGCTTTTACTTAAAGATTGTTTGGTATCGCTGACCTTGTGCCTTCTAATATACTATGTAGTTTATCGCATTATATTATTTACATAAATGTGTTATCTCTGTCGGTCATCTATAAGAGGAATGAGTTACTTGACTTGTTGTTGATTTCAACAACATCAAAATGTCGTGAACACTTCACAGCCAAAAGCACGATCAGTATTGTACCCAGACAATGATTTGATGTTGGAAATAAACGTTTTGTCATCAGCATGGGGAGGATGTGCATTGTTCCAATTTTCCCTTTTATCTTTTTTGAAAGAGGAGATCGTACCTGGTTACATGGTCTTTAGACCTGGCTTAAGCATTTAAAGAGAAATAACATCGTGTGCGGTACCCAAAACGATGTAAACGACGACTGAAAATCAACGTAACAATAATGCAGTAATTTCAACATCGAAACATGAGCAATGACATATCATCGACATCAGCGGCAGCGCAACTGATGCATGTACTGATGCAGATACTTGACTGCCTCTGTATCCTGGGCCATATTAGCCACATGTGGAAAAACCTGACAATTTCCCCAGCTGTCTTGGAAATACATATCGTCTTTTAACTTTATTTCTTGCTTATCTACCCACTTACCTGGTTACTAATAAAGGAGAAAAAAAGAAGGGAAAGTATGAATTTTAGATTGTGTCGTAGTTAACAGGATACAGACATATACATATAAATAAATGGCTTTGCCTGTTGCCCTGAAGAATGACTTGTTCCTGAATATCCACAATATTTTGGTTTAGTTGTATTGAATTGTTTTGATTTTTCTGAATTGTTCTGGATGTATTGCGCCATGATCGTCATTTGTTTCGGATTATAAATGGGCATTATGCCTGTACGTGTAAAGGAGACCCGGTATCGTAATTTCTTCGAACGGTGGAAGACACCGGTCATTAGTGAGACATTTTCATGTCTCCCTAGTGTCACAGCCCCCCTTTAGAGGCAAAATTGTATAGTCGCAATAAGATTATTTTTGCTGCTTGTGGTCTAATTAGTAAACATACCGACATTTGTGGAAAAAGGACGAGGGAATATTGGGTAAGGGCACATTTAAATTGGAAAAATTTGTGCACAAGTTTATGGGGATGTTTCTTTTTACCTTGTTTCACTTACCTTACTAACCAAATTTAAAAGGTGAAAAAAGACGTAGCCTTCGCGAATGGAAAAAGTCTTACTGGGAAACGGAAGTAGTGTTCACTTTCAAGCAATTCACGAAACTGCTGTCTTGCACCGGTGACTCAAAAAAGGTTTTATGCAAACTAGTCCCAAATCCTTTACCTTTATTTCTGTATATGACTAAGTATGCAAAACCGTGTGTATGTATGAACGCGGTAAGGGAGTTCTCTGACGATCGTGCCGGAACCTCACGACGTATAAAAGAACTTAAGGTACCTACCTGGTACACCACGTTGGTAAAAAAGATACCACCACCCATGGTCACTCGCAAGTTTATACACAACCAATGAAACAGGCCTGGTGTAGTCTGAAACGATAACATAATAGGGCCAGGCGGAATTCATACAAACAAGTATTCTTTTTACCATGTTATAACGAGAGATGATGGAGTGGGGACAGAAACAGAAATTGTTCTCATTCAGCAGGAATACGTATTTTGGAACACTCTCTGTACACGCACCTTGCCAGTAGCATAAGTCGACGGGTTCCAATATCTTATACTCAGGTCTAATTATCCCAAAATAATTTCCTGCGGTCAATCCACTAGCTTTTTCCCCCCTTCACATCCATAAGTTGCACACCCGACATTGTGCCCCTGTCCTCAAAGTGTTTGCGCATTCTGAAGGAAAAGAATATGCAGTGGGCACGGGACGGGGCTCTTTCCTATTCTGGAGGGGACCCTCAATGGGTTTGGTCGTAGTTTTGAACGATACAAAGCTGAGAGGCCTTTAGCACGGGCTATGTGCCCCCCTCCCCGTTTACGCTCATTGCGAATATTCAGTTGTCAAAATAAAGCATAAAACAACCTTTATGTGAAGTAAGACAAACTTTATGGAGCAGACTTATAGTCCTTGCAGATGAGGGAAGTCGTATGAATATGGTTTATGTACGGTTAAGTTTGCCAGTGTACTCCATATACATGTAACAAAGTTCCTTTGTAAAACAATGCCACAGTGACTAATGTATGGCCTTTGGGTGCAAAGGGTGACTTGGGTTTATCGTTGTTTACGCTCAAATGATCTGCACCATGCCAACGAGGTAAATATTGTTACTTCGATGAGAATAACAGAGACCAACGCAGAGAAACATTTTGGCGCCAAAAACCTTACATTAAACCCCGCCCCATGATGTTTGACCAATCACAATGGTGATTGATGCCCCGCCATGCGTGTAGTTGTGTATGACGCATGCGACAACGTGGCTGGAACATGGAGTGTGTTTGTGTTGTTGCCCATTTGCACTTGCAGTGGGCGGGGCTTAACCGATCGGTTTAATAAAAGTGACACATTCAAATTTAACCAGACACATCTTCATAGTGAGTCGAGTGTACACCTCAACCATCGCTGCAATGGCACCAATGAACAAGTCTTCAGATATTGGAATGGAAATGTTCGACCAAAGCAAACAGTCCAACAAGAATGCAGTGTTTTGGCGTTGGTTTGTGGCAGGGACACTGCTGAACCTGTGCATCACATCGGTCCTGGTTGGCCTGACTGTGTTCTACGTCCACACGGAGCTACAGTCAGTAAGGGTGAGTCAAGACTAATTTGTAAATCTGGATGTTTTGTTTTAATTTTGATATCTTTTAAATAAACCGAAGAAATAAACTTAATATTACTCTTAAGTACACATATAAACTGAGCTTAGATAAGTATTGGGATTGCAGAATATATCAATATTGAATAATTATTAATCTAAAAATGATAGATTGTATTTTAAACTAATGAACTTGAAAATTACTGTTGGTGAGGTCGTATCTCATAGAGGGTGGTTCTTCAACTTTCTATTCTGCAGTCATGGATGACTGAAAAAAAACCATCCTGAGCTGTCTCAACAATGCGCTCCTGCAGCTGTGATCTGTATTTTAAAAGGGGAGTTAGACATTGTCGGAGATGCATTGCATTTAATGATGCATTGTGAACAAATGAATTAATGTTTCGTTTATTATTCAAAGTTTATCATTGCATGCCAAATTGCGTCATCGCGTATGGTTGTTTATTAGCCAACGTACTGTAACTTTCGCTAAAGAATGATCAACGATTAACGTTTCTGGAACCACTTTTTTAGTCATTGACAGAAAATATGTCTCCGAGGAGAACACCACACTACTGCCTAACTCCAGCTTTCTTGATAATTACTTTTCGTTTCATCATACATGTATTTGTTCTTTCTAGCCTTTTGCCAAGAGTGAATTTTATAGCTTTTCTTTGGGGTGATTTCTATATTTAAAAAACACTGAATTCTCTCTGCTGACTTTTCTATTTTCGATATTTCAACACATCATCTTGTGTCTGTTCTTTCAGCAACAAATAGCGAGCAACGAAGAGCGTTTGTCATTAGTCGAGAAGGCCATGCCACAAGGAACAACTGACCCGACTTCGACGAATGCCCAACTGCGAATTCGAAGGGACCAAGGCAATCCCCTACCAGTCACTCACAACGTCAATCAAAATTTGACGTTCCCATTTGCGCGGGACATTGGTAATTAAAATGAATTTTGAACCTTTTGAAAAAGGAAACAATTCTTGAATCAAACCACTGTTTATTTTAGAAGTTACCCAAAAAAATGCTGACAAGTTGATCAGAAATATACAAGTCACAGAGGGTGCAGGAACATTATGATATTTGTAGAATCCTTCCAAAATATGGAGAGAAACAAATCCATTTTGCTCAAAGATCAAACGTCATGCCTCTTCCATTAACTTTGCGATTAACAAGTTGAACTGTTATCGTTATTATATATTATTGGATGCTACTTCTTTTTTTTTTTTTTAAGTTCTTTCGTAGTAATTGTTATTCGTTTGTTTTTCGTTTTCTTCCAAAAATCAAGGGCCTTTTGGATATGGAGGCTGTCGTGACGGTAGGGACGGACGTGATGGACGAGATGGAATTCAGGGCCCAGCAGGCCAGCCGGGCCCACAAGGAGTCAAAGGAGAACCGGTAAGAATCCCAATCAAACATTACTTAGGCATTATCCAGTTGCCAAAGAAATTTCGATAAACTACTTCAAAGTAACGACCTTGGCAGATTTGTGGCGGCAATACGAGCGATTTACAACAAACTGCACTATACAAACCGTTTGTCCCAAAGCTACTGTTTTTAACATCATTGTTGACATCCTGCCTATACAAACCCCTTTGAATTGTGTACCTACATTACCAAGCGCAAACAGGTACTTTTTAGAAGCCTCACAAATAAACGGGTTATCTATTTTCACACATACTAGAAGCTTATAATCACTATACTCATCACCGCCCCTCCCCCAAACTCAGCCCAATTATTGGCGTAACGGTGTAATCCTAATCGATAGCGCTGCCCGGCTGACAAATGACAGTCAGTCGGGTGTTTTAGTCCGTGCAACGTATAGTTACACAACTGCTTCCGTTTGCGTAATTTTTTTTCCTAGGAGGGTTAGGGGCAATGTCATGAATAATTCAGTTTTTCCTTTGAATCATTGCAAGACTTAGGTTCTCGTTCTATTTTTCCCTTAATTTAAAATTATCGCAGTGATAAATTTGGAGAAGAAAAATAGCTGATGAAAATGAGCAGCGACGACGTGGATTCGAACCAGGGATATTTGTATCCATAGCTCATCTCGCTATCCACTAGGCTACTGTGTGGTAGCTCGACGACAACCGTTCTTTAAAATGCTTTAATGTATTGTAACTAGTTGAGTAACTAACAACAATGCTGTTGATGTCATTGTCCGTTCTCATGGATAAACATGAATTATTCATGACATTGCCCCTAACCCTCCTAGGAATAAAAATTACGCCTTCCGTTTGTGTCCGCAGATTCAAAAACTCTAACGGACTCGACTCTCACCCTTGTTCTAGTTATATTCCTATCAAGTCTCAGACTGAAGCTTGCTTTGTTTAATTCGGTGTCAAACAATCATGTATTTATTCGGCAGGGTTTACCAGGGGCTGCTGGAAAAGCCGGACCCAGAGGGCCGAAGGGAGACTCAGAGGACACGGGTTCGTTTCGTTATTGTTATATTACATTCAATTCAAATTGAGAGATAAAAAAAAAAACAGTCGGATTTGGAGATGCGCTTTCCAGGCTCTTTAACAAACTTTGTTTTTTCCTGACAAAAAAATGCACGCTTTATTTTGACAAAAAACCCTACGTTTGTCTATATGAGGCGTTTGCGACCATCTGAAAACAAATTCTGGGTTGTTTTTGTACACAAGCGGCTCCGACGAATAAGTAGACTGGTTCCCTCTCTCTACATTATCGATTCTGATAGGGAGGCAGGAACCCTGCAAGATCTGAATTATCGTCGGGCTGCAAATAGTTCGAACTTTGTGGAGTAAATATTACATTAACTAAAATGTGGGCCGATATTTGTTTTCGCGATGTCTGTTAACACAAAAATCTATGTTCCGGGTAAGCGTGAGAATAGCTCGAACAATACTTATAACCATCAGGTTTCAAGTGGGCGTCGCAAGGGAAAGGCATGTCACTATACATGTCACTTGGTGGTCTGTCTGTCTGTCTGTCTGCCTGTCCCGAAAATGGACCAAAATTATGGTGTTCCATATGCGCCATCGGCGTCGCATTTTTCGGCGTCGCATTTTTCAACTCTGACATGACCGGGATCATTTTGATCGATTTCATGCAAGACTTTCATGCAACACGGCCAGAGCTTGTGCACTCGCACTTGTTTGCAGTTAAATGGGTACAAATCATGACGTTTCATGTACAAGATTTTAAAAGGCTTTTTACTCAAAGCGATGTATTCGGGATAAGTGTGTTGACTTGGATCACAAAATGATTTTGGTAAATCTCAACCCCTTTCTACAATTATACCTGATAATTCTTTTTAGAGCCACGTGACCACCGTGACAACCGAATGCTGCTAGGGGGAGAGACTTACGTCCGATGGGGGCGCACTATTTGCCCCAATCACACAAGCACAGAACTGGTGTACGCAGGTAGGCCTGGCAAAAGATATTAACAAAGATGTTGGCTTAGCAAAGAGCTTTTGAAAAGAAAATATTGCTTAGCAAATAGTTTCTGTTTAGGAGTGGACACAAACTGATTATTGAGGGCGCTGTTCAAGGTGCATGATTTGGGTTGCCCTATTTGTTGGAGATTATTTTCTGACCCCCAATGTTTTGAACAGGAAGAATATCTTGTCCACATAAAATGATTAATGTTTGGGGAGGGGTGACACTTTCAACACGTCCGCACACTTTAGCGACGCCATTCATTGCCGTTCTCTTAAACGTTTCCTTTTTATTGAAACGAATATTTTTAATCCCATTAAAGGCTTCGCAACCGGTTCGTATTACGCCCACAAAGGCGGCTCCGTGGATTTTATCTGCCTTCCCACTGATCCTGACTGGGCGGCATCGTACAATGACGGGTTTAACTCGCATTCGTATCTGTACGGAACAGAGTACGAGGTAAGCAACTACGATCCGTTCTCCCACGAGAACGCCGAGGTCCTTCACGACCATGACGTCCCGTGCGCCGTGTGCCGCCTCGTGGACCGCGGGACCCAGTACCTGTTCCCAGCCAAGCTCGGCTGTCCTGAGAACTGGACGGAGGAGTACAGAGGCTTCCTCATGTCTGGATATTACAACCACGAGCAGCGGTCCAAAGCTGTGTGCGTGGACCAAGCCCCGGAGGTGGTCTCTGGCAGTCACGCTAGCCAAAGCGGAGCACTTCTGTACATCATAGAGGGGGTCTGTGTGCCCCTCCATTGCCCCCCGTACGTCGGCGGGCGTGAAATAACCTGTACCATATGCAGCATCTAAGGCGGCTGACATGTCGCTCTACCCAACTGGTTAAATTTGTGACGTTGACTGGGGAATATTGACAGAAAATTGACATTAGGCCAAAAAAAAAGTCTCCGGTTTCTCGTATGCGCGCCCGTCGCCGTAGCATGCGCGTCGGAAAAATGAAAACGGTTTTTTTCAATGAAAGATGATGTCTCAAAACCGCCAAACTAACTGGTTTGACTGGAATTCTGCTGCTGCGCAATTTCAACGTGTTTTTAGATGGGGTTATGATCGAGAATAAGCTTTATGTGGCCTCTCTGGACTCCCATATATTTGCACTAAGTTTAGTCGGGCACCATTTGCAGTCATCAGCCGACATTTGAAGCAAAAAAGTCGGGTGAAAAAAAAAAAAGCCGCGTCGCCGCACCACTTTTTGGACAAGCTCCATACCAGAAACCGGAGACTTTTTTTTTCGGCCTTATGGACTACAGTAACAATATTTGCTGCATACTGACTGAATTGATGTGCACTTGCGCAGTATAATGCCGATTTTCCTTCAGTTATCATGAATATGGATTGGAAGTTAGCACCCCCTCAACAGTAATAAAGAGAATGTTGGGAAGGATCAATTAATGGGAGGGACTCTGGAACAAAATACAATGTACCGATGTGTCCCTCCCACTGAAAGCTCTCGTGTTCAAGCACTGAGTCCAAAATACGCACAGGGTCAGTTTATTCCATCAAAAATAATCTTTGTATCGTGCCAGAAACTTGGGTCCTAATTTGACTGCTTCGCTTTGTATTCATTTTTTTAACAATGTACAATTCTGCTTTACTTAAATATTGTTTGTACTGCTGACTTTCACTTCAGGCTTCTTTGTTTATATGGGCCTACAATGTAGTTTATTGCAGATATATTACTCGCTCGACCTGTTGTTGATATTAAAAGTATCAATATTAATATGTCGTGAACACTTCACCAGCCGTATGGTTGTGACGGGCGATTCCTAAAGGTTACGCAACACTTTATTTTGAATGAAACTACATCCACACAGACATGTTCACACAGGCGGGCGAAATCTTTGAAAATTAATTTCTCCCGTTTGGAAAACCGTATCATCATGCAACTTTCGGGGCTTTTTTCCCTTATAATGATCCAAGTATGTGCTAAAAATGGTTGTGATGTTCATTACTTTTCGTTGAAATTGGAAAAAATAGGCCTGGCTACGTGCATTTTTGAAAGTTGTAGCACATGGCGTTTGCAATATCTGTCAATCTTTTCAGGCCTAGTTAGGTTCCTTTTCATTATGGTGTGCAGTAAAAGTGTGGAAAAAAGCCTCCTTCACGAGTTATTAATTGATAAATATCACCCCTTTTGCTGGCTTCCATGTCCCTTTTTGCTGGCTTCCTTGGTCGATACCGAGATTCACGCCAAGTCACGCCGAGTGACGCTAATGAATATGCTAATATGCCCTTCATCATTGTGTTGCCGGGCCGAATTCGGTCAACAATAGCGCCTACGGCGCTGTAGGATCTTTGCTGAAAACCATGCATGTTGGTTTGGTTGGCAAAAAATACTAGTCGAAATTTTCCTTGGAGATTGTTCAAGGTGTAACACTTGCGTTTGCAACAACAGATTAAGCTGAAACTTAGATAATATAAGTGTTCAACTACTCGTGAAATAACAACTTTATGAACTTCCTAGAAATTGAAATTAATACGTAGATTTGGGGACGTTTTCGAACGATTTCTTCCCGACTTGAAGGTCAGCTTACCAGTAACCAGGATTGAGGTTTCGGCATCGATGATCATGGCTATTTTTTCACTTACATGAAGTTTAGAATTTCTTCTTTCGTTACAACTTAACATTTCAATCATACTGAGCATATTTTATGAGAAACAAAACGTTCAAAAAAGCCATGTTTTCTGGGTGCATGAATTTCAGTGCTCTGTTATAGCGCCTAAGTACGTAATCGGATTAACTTTGCTTATCAACGGGCCACACTTCGCCTTCGCAACCACCCGTCTGTCACAACTTATTAATACTCTGAGTAGTATTTGGCATTGCTCCAACGGTCCCTCATTCGACATTTCGATAACACAGCCTATACCTCAGAGCTCCATTCCTCCAAATCTTTGTGGTGTGGCCATACCACTGTAGCACTGTATGACGAAAAGTTTATTGAATTCGGTTAAAAAGGGTTCAATATTGTACACATACAAATTATTTGAATGTACGAATATTTGCATGCATGCACGCAGTAGAGGGAGCTCTGTGGTGATCCTGCCGAAACCTGGTTGGAAACCTTAGGACTTATAAAAAAAAAAAAATAGACTTTATGCACGAGTTGGTCATACTAAATGGAAAGCGAGGTAAACTCTTCAGTTTTGGAACTTGCGAGTAGAAATGAAGGCAATGCATTAATAGTTCATTACAATTTGATACCAGTCTGCTCTAAGGAATAACTTAAAATTTGTGTTTAAACATAACTTTTAAAGCCACAATTTTAAAAACAAACTGAAAGTGAGGCTTGGCACTCACTCCAATCAGAAAATAGTCTGGCACCATCCCATTCAACAGTTTACAATTAAAATAGATTCAGGGAACACGATCAAAAATGGCTGCCTCGTGAATAAGGTTTATAGAGTTCATTGTTCATGCAAAGCTACCTATAGTTGGTATGTTACGTTTGGCAAAATTACATGAAAATAATTGGTAAAATCACATCTAAATAATAGGGGAAATCACATCTAAATAATTGGGAAAATTACATCATAATATATATTGGGAAAAAGATACCCCGCAATGGCATGGCCACTTGTAAGTTTGTAGACAACCAAGAGAGGCCATTTAGCAGTTAGGTTTAAAAAAAAATGTTAAGTATAGGCCTGGTGTATTTTGAGTCGATATCATATGGCCGGGTGTTCTCGTACGGCGCAGATGGCGTATCTTGAAATGCTACACATATGTACGTACGCGCCTTGCTACATGTAGTAGCATGACTCAATGTGGTCTAACATCACAATTAAAGGGGGAATTCCGGCTTGAAATTCCCGGAAAAAAATCATGTTTTTGGATTGTTTATGTATCGTATTTCAAGGGTCTCGTTGAAAGGAAACTAACCTAATGTCTTACCGTTCCCGAGAAAAGCCGACAAAAGACGGTTGTTTACATCGGACGCAGTGGACATCTTGTGACATAGGCATACGTATTTCAAGCCGTGTCTGTTTGTGTGTGCACGTTGTGTGTGTGTGTCACGGTTAACTTCAAGAAATAAGTAGGCCCATAATTATGTACTTTTTTAATATGAAAAGCAAAATCAGTGCATTCATATTTCCACATCTTTCGGAAACAGTCAATTTAGTTATTCTTCTTGTCCTTTGGATTGGTTTTTAAACCTCCAAGTTCTTCTCTTGCCATTCACCGTGCCATATACGCCTGTGCATGGTATACCAGCGTGCGAATTAATTTTTGTCTCGAAAATTTCTTGAAATCGATTGATCAAAAGACGGATTCAAACTCATTGTAGCATTTGCGCGTTCCAGTCTTTTCGAGACGAAATTGAAGTTAACCGTTTATGAATTTGAATGAACAAAGTTTTAAAATGTGCAAGAAAACCTATATTTAAGTTGGATGAGCTTTACGGTAAGGCATTATATAGTCATTGCAGATGGGAGAATTAGCTTCGTGTACCCAGGCAATAGCGATAAGTTGAAACTCAGTTGAAATGTGCATATTCCCCAGGTCCTCGGAAGGTGAAATGCATGATCTTTGGGGCAAAGGTAACCATGATTTATCGTTGTTTACTGTAAAAATGACATTCACCATGCGAACCCGGTAAATATTGTTCCTTTGTTGCGACGATTAGGGACAATTGGCGAAAAAACATCTGGGCGCCAATATAAATCGTTATAATGTTTTGACCAATCACAATGTCCGACGTGCGTGCACGTGCGTACGACGTGCGCGGCTGGAACATTCAGTGTTGCATGGGAGAGGCGCAATGGGCGGGGATTATAATGTATCGGTCTATTAACAGTGGGTGAGCGGAATTTAACCAGACACATCTCACTTGAGAGTCGAGTGTTCACTTTATAACCATCGCCGTAATGGCACCAATGAACAATTGTCTTCAGATATTGGAATGGAAATGTTCGACCAAAGCAAACAGTCTAACAAGAATGCTGTGTTTTGGCGTTGGTTTGTGGCAGGGACACTGCTGAACCTGTGCATCACATCGGTTCTTGTTGGCCTGACTGTGTTCTACGTCCACACGGAGCTACAGTCAGTAAGGGTGAGTGCGTTTTGTTGTAATTTAATGTGTCTGAAATGAACCGAAGAAATGAAATGAAATAAATGAAATGAAATAAATTTGATAATGACTGAGTTCGGACAAGTTTAAACCTGGTGCGTAAATCTTCCGATTTTATTATAGGGTATATATAATAATGATCAAACTACTAAATACTAATCTGTCAACACTGGATCCATGTTAAATTTATTGACTTGAACCTGTTAGTGAGTTTGCATGTTATAAAGGCTGGTTCTTCAGCTGTACAACCCTCATGTCATATATGAGTGAGTTCCAATGATTAATGTAATATTTGAGATACAAATGTTGGCACTTGGTGAACTGTATAATGAAGGGGAAGTTATAATATACATTTTGAAACGCATTAGCGTATCATGGTGCATTTATATAAATAAAAAATACCAAACAATAATTATTTTCCGTTTATTCCTTGACACTAGCCTTTGCAGGCCAAATTGTGTCCGTGACGTACGTAGGTTGTTCATCAGCCAATTGCAACTTCAGCAAAAGAAGAATTTAATCAACGACTGGAAGTTTATAGAGCAACTTAAAAGTCACTGAATGAAATATCTCCAAGGAGAACGTTAACGCCACATTAGATTCTCTCTGCTGACCATTTTATTTTCGATATTTCAACACATCCTGTGTCTGTTTTCTTTTTCAGCAACGAATAGCGATCAACGAAGAGCGTTTGTCATTCGTCGAGAAGGCCTTGCCGCAAGAAAATAATGGCCCAACTTCGAAGAATGCCCAACTGCGAATTCGAAGGGACCAAATGCCAGTTAGCCACAACGCCGACCAAAATCTGACGTTTCCATTTCGACGGGTCATCAGGGGTAAAAAAAATGTTGTACCTTTCGAAAAAGAAAATAAACCATATTTTCTATTTCAGAAGTTACTTCAAAATACTGACAAGTTTGACCTGAAATATTCAAATCACAGAGAGGGAAAGTTCTCTCGACTTGATCTTTAAAAGTAGAATCCTTCTAATTCTGAAATCTGGAGAAAAAGTCTGCTCAAAGATCATAACTCCAGGCCTAATCCGTTAACTTCGCGATTCACACCCTAAATTATTATCGTATGGTTTTTTTCTTCACAAAATCAAGGGCCTTTTGGATATGGAGGCTGTCGTGACGGTAGGGACGGACGTGATGGACGAGATGGAATTCAGGGCCCAGCAGGCCAGCCGGGCCCACAAGGAGTCAAAGGTGAACCGGTAAGAATCCCAATCAGACATTCCTCAGACATTATCCATTTGCCAAAGAAGTCGCCATAAAGTTTTCCAAAGTTCCATACTTGGCAGGTGTGTCGCTCCGTGCAATACGGACGATTTACAATACGCAGCACCAAAACCGTTTGTCCCGAAGATAAATACCACTTTTAACGTCATTGCTGACATATTGCTAATATAAAATTGTTCACAGTTTATTTTCATTACCAAGCGCACATAGGTACTTTCAGAAGATTACAAATAAAATCATTTGCTAGACAGTAGACTAGCACTCAAACACCAGCAAATACCTCCGAGTCCTTGTGCAAATTACAGTTATACTCGCGGATGCTTCCAACAAACGCCGTTTATGCAGTTATCGCTCCTTCAAACAATAAAAATGAGTTACATCCACCCAATGTAAATCAGATCGAGTCTTCAAAATCCACTGATTAAGTCCAGTCCAATAAATTTGGTTTCGAGTCGAAAACTTCTCAGTTCATGTATAAGTCTCAAAGTCATTTTCCCTCCTAGTCACCCGGCCTCCGTAAACCGAAAAGCGCGGAGGACACCATCTTTCTATTGGGGGGGGGGGGGGGGGGGGGGCTGCTCCCAGCGGACCATCATGGGCATTATCGGCCAGTAGGTGGCGCTCTTCATCCCTGCACATTTGCCAATTACGAACACACGATTTTGCCGACAGCAAGACCAATAAAAATACGAAACAATTGTTGCCCTTTCGAATCATGAACAGGGAAGCACAATGGGGGCTCAGTACTCCAGAAGGCGGCCGTCACTCGTGCCGCCCTTATACTTACTTATTAGTTGCACCACTGCTTCCCTGTGTGTCCACCATATCTCAAATACTCACATGGCCTTGACTCTCGCAATGCTGACCCTTAAATCCCTATGAAACTGAGGCTTGCTTGATTAAACCAGCATGTATTTATTCGGCAGGGCTTACCAGGTGCTGCTGGAATTCGAGGACCCAGAGGGCTGAATGGAGACTCCGAGGACACGGGTTCGTTCGCCTTTGTTTATAATTATTACATTCAATTCAAAATAAGAGATCCAAAAAAAAGAGAGTAAGATTAAGATGCGCTCTCCGGGATCTTTAAAAAAAAAAAAACCTGTTTTTTCTGACCAAAAACCCTAATGCACACTAAATTATTATTTTTTTTTACACCAGCGGCTCCGACGAACAAATATTATTCTGGTTCCCGCTCTCTTCATTATCGATCCTGATAGAGAGGCAGGAACCCTGCAAGATCTGAATAATCGTTGGGCTGCAAATAATTCGAACTTTGTGAAGTATTATTAAATTAAAATGTGGGCCGATATTGTTTTTTGCCGATGTCTGTTAACACAAAAAGCTATTTTCGTGAATGTGAGATTTGGTCGAACAACACTGATAACTATTAGACTCGACGCAAGGGGGAGGCAAGGGGGCGCTCCCACCCCTACCCCCCCTACACCTCTCCCCCCCCCCCCCCCACCCCGTAAAACCAAAAAACGGAGAAAAAAGGGGAAGGAAGAAGACGAGGCAGGAAGTCATTTTGCTGTCAATTTAATGCACATAAACAACATGGGCGTCCGCAGGGGTGTTAATTGGAGTGCAATGGGCAAATGTCCACCGCCAACTCTCGAAAAATGATAAATAGAGAATATGCTCAAGAAAGTACATGTACAAGGATTTTCGGAGCTCTGCTATAAGTCTAAAATGGGGAATGCATTACAGTATACTCGAATGATCAATTAGGTGCTGTAACATCTGTCGATGGGGGCGCTGTTCAAAGCCCACGGTTATGCACTGCAACGGACAATATAATGGTGATTTTAAGGGGCGAGACATGCGCGAAATTTAAATAAAAAGGCCCACGGTACGGCCGGTGGCACCAAAAAGGGCACGACTGTTTCTTAAAAAGGGCACTTGTTCAGAAAAAAACCGGCACTTGTTAACAAAAGAAGGACACTCTTTATAAATATTTTTTTTAGGGGGGGGGGGTAGCGCTGGTGAAAAAAGGCATTTGAATGGAAAAGGGCAGTCTTTACAAAATATAGGCGTGACTAACTGGGAGGGGAGGCGTGCTCGAGGCCTCATGTGGCCCTCCTCTCCCCACGTGCCTCCTCCCCCCCCCCCCCTCCGCTGGCTACGCCAATGATTCGGGATAAGCGTGTTGACTTGGATCACATAATGATTTTGGTAAATCTCAACCCATTTCTACAATGCCTGATAACTCTTTCTAGAGCCACGCGACCACCGTGATAACAGAAAGGCGTCAGGCGGAGAGACTTACGTCCGATGGGGGCGCACTATTTGCCCCAATCACACAAGCACAGAACTGGTGTATGCAGGTAGGCCTGGCAGCGTAATTTTTTTTCCTAGGAGGGTTAGGGGCAATGTCATGAATAATTCAGTTTTTCCTTTGAATCATTGCAAGACTTAGGTTCTCGTTCTATTTTCCCCTTAAATTAAAATTATCTCAGTGATAAATTTGGAGAAGAAAAATAGCTGATGAAAATGAGCAGCGACGACGTGGATTCGAACCAGGGATCTTTGTATCCATAAGCTCATCTCGCTATCCACTAGGCTACTGTGTGATAGCTCGACGACAACCGTTCTTTAAAATGCTTTAATGTATTGTAACTAGTTGAGTAACTAACAACAATGCTGTTGATGTCATTGTCCGTTCTCATGGATAAATATGAATTATTCATGACATTGCCCCTAACCCTCCTGGAATAAAAATTACGCGGCCTGGCAAAGATACTAACGAAGAGCAAAGAGCTATTGAAAGAGAATACTGCTCAGCAAATATTTTCTGTTTAGGGGTGGATACAAACTGCTTATTAAGGGCACTGTTCGTGGTGCATGATTTGGGTAGCCCTATTTATTATAGAATATTTTCTGACCCCCAATGTTATGGACAGGAAGAAGATTTCGGCCGCACTTTAAATGATTAATGTTTGGGGAGGGATGACACTTTCACCACGCCCGCACACTCTAGCCTCGCCATTCATTGCCGTTCTCTTAAACGTTTCCTTCGTATATTTTAAATCTCATTGAAGGCTTCGCAACCGGTTCGTATTTCTCGCACAAAGGCGGCTCTGTAGATTTTATCTGCCTTCCCACTGATCCTGACTGGGCGGCATCTTACAACGACGGGTGGAACACGGGGTCGTATCTGTACGGAACGGAATACAGGGTAAGCTACGATCCGTTCTCCCACGAGAACGCCGAGGTCCTTCAAGACCATGACGTCCCGTGCGCCGTGTGCCGCCTCGTGAACCGCGGGACCAAGCACCTGTTCCCGGCCAAGCTCGGTTGTCCTGAGAACTGGAGGGAGGAGTACAGAGGCTTCCTCATGTCCGGATATGCCGACCATGAGCAGCGATCCAAAGCCGTGTGCGTAGACGAGGCCCCGGAGGTGGTCTCTGGCAGTCAAGCTGACCAAAAAGGAGCACTGTTGTACATCATAGAGGGGGTCTGTGGGTCCCTCCATTGCCCTCCGTACGTCAACGGGCGTGAAATAACCTGTACCGTCTGCAGCATCTAAGGCGGCTAACATGTCACTCTACCCAATGGGGTACATTTGTGCCGCCGTCTGGGAAATGATGACCGGAAGTGGACCTCATGGTCTAGAGTAACATTATTTGCTGTTTGTCTCTTACTGCATTGATGTGCACATGCGCATTTGTAATGCTTGCAGGTTCATGCTTGCCGTGCTTATCACTTATCATACAGATATAGATTGGGAGTTCGTTCAAACCCCAGCAAACAAAGTCTAAAAGCCCGAGTATGGGCTCCGTGCACAAGCACCCCACAACGATTATTATAGCGTAATTTTGGTATATGACAGGCACAATAGGAGGGCGCTGTTTGATTTGGTTAAACTCTTCTATATTGCCCAAACCAAATAACGCCCTCCTGTCAAGTCGGGCATATTTCAAACAAAAATTTTGGAAGGATCAATAAAAGGGATTCTGGAACGAATCGCCAATGTGTCCCTCCATATGAAGTTCTCGTGGTATAGAAAAAGCGCCATCTAGTGTTCATGCACGGAGTCCATAATACGCCGAACCTCAGTTATTCCATCAAAGGTGATCTTTACATCGTGCCAGAAACGTCAATCCTGACTAATCTACTTTGCTTTGCATTCAAATCTTAACAATGTATAGCTTTACTTGAAGATTGTTTTGTATCGCTGACCTTTACATTTATATTAAGGCATCTAAGGGACTATATAGTTTATCGCATTACATTATATACATAAAATTGTGTTGTCTCTGTCAGTAATTATAAGAGAAATGAGGTTACTTGACCTTTTGTTGATCTCAACAGCATCAAAACGTCGTGAACACAATGATTTGATGTTGGAAATAAACGTTTTGTCATCAGCATGGGGAGGATGTGTATTGTTCCAAGTTTCATTTTGTCTTTGTTAAAAGAGGAGATCGTGTCTGTTACACGGTCTTTAGACCTGGCTTAAACATTTAAAGAGAAATAACATCGTTTGTGGTTATCAAAAAAACGATGCTAACGACAACTGAAAATCAACGTAACAACAATGCCATTAACCTCAACATCACACTATTAGGAATGACACATCATCAACATCAGGTGTAGCGCAACTGATATATGTACTGATGCAGATACTTGACTGCCTCTGTATCCTGGGCCATATAGCCACATGTGGAAAAACCTGACAATTTCCCCAGCTGTCTTGGAAATACAAACCGTCTTTGAATTTTATTTCTGGCTTTAATAGCTACATATATACTTACCAGGTAACTAAAAAAGGAGAAAAATAACATACCAACAGGGGGAAAACGTTGGCATTCCTAGAAAGGAGGGAAAGTATGAATTTTAAATTGTGTCGTAGTTAACAGGATACAGAAATATACATGTAAATGGCTTTGCCTGTTGCCCTGAAGACTTACTTGTTCCAGAATTATAGCCGCAATATTTTGGTTTGGCTGTATTTAATTGTTTTGATAGTTTTGAATTGTTCTGATTGTATTGCGCCATGAGCGTCATTTCTGGCTGATTATGATTTGCCATTATGCTTATAATAACAAGTATACCCTTTGGGAGACACTTTAGCGTCGTAAGTTATACCTATGAGAGACATGTCGAGTGGACCGATCCAGTAAACCCCGCCCATACGCGCTGGGCAAATTAACACGTGCTCCTCTCTAATGCCACGCTACATTTTCCTGCCGCGCGCATCATACGCGCGTGCACGCATGTCGGACTTTTTTTCACGCACGTCGGACATAAATCACGGCTGTGATTGGTCAGAACACCATGGAGCGGTGCTTACTGGATCGGTCCATTAGGGAAACATTTCTTCAATGTCTCTCTGATTCCTCATCCCCTCCTTTAGTGTCGCAAATATATGGTGTTCTATAAAGGACACTTATCTGTTATAGTCGTGCGTGTGGAGCGCTCCGTCGTGTTTGTAAGCAGTGCGTCGTGCGTGTGGGGAGCTCCGTCGTGCCTGTGAGGAGGTCCGTCGTGTTTGTGAGGAGGTCCGTCGTGTTTGTGGAGAGGTTCGCCGTGTTTATAGTACACCATACAAATAGGCTAGATCGATTGCTCGTGGTTCAATTAGTAAAAAATACCGACATTTGTGCAGGTGGGTAGGATAAGGTAAAATTGGGGTTAGGGGTCATTAAAGTTGGAAAAAAATGTGTGCACAAGTCTATGGGAATGTTTCCCTAATGCCCAATAATCGGTAATTATTATTATTATATTACCATTAGGGAGACACATTATCGTTATTTTTTCGATAATAGGGAGACACCGGCTTTTAGGGAGACACATAACTGTCTCCCTAATCCTTTACCTTTATTCCTGCATAAATATGACTAATTATGCAAAACCCTGTATATCTGTGAACGCGGTAAGGGAGTTCTCTGACGATCGTGCCAGAAACTCACAACTCATTCATCATGCAAAGGTACCTAATTGGTGTACTCCGTTGGTAAAATTAACATCGAAATAATTGGGGAAAGATACCACCACCCATGGCCACTCGCAAGTTTGTAGCCAATAGTTAATTTAGGTATAGGCCCGGTGTAGTCTGAGACGATAACATATGGAATTCATACCAAAAAAAGGTATTCTTTTTGCCATGTTATAATGAGTGATGATGGAGTGGGACAGTAACAGAAATTGTTCTCGTGCGGCAGGAATGCGTATTTTGGAACGCTACGTACGCACCTTACCTGTATCCTATACTTAGGCCTGATTATTCAAAAACAATTTACTGCAATCAATCCACTAGTTTTGTTACCCTCTGCACATCCATAAGTTGCACACCCGACATTGTGCCCCCAGTCTTCAAAGTGTTTGCGCATACGTACTGAAGGAGAAGCCTGCAGTGGGCACGGGACGGGGCTCTTTCCTATTCTGAAGAGGACCCTCAATGGGAATTTGGTCGTATTTGAACGATACAAAGCTAAGAGGCCTTCAAGCAGGGGCTGTGTCCCCCCCCCCCCCCCATCCCCGTTTACGATCATTGCGAATCTTCCGATGTCAAAATATAGCATAATCCAACCTAAATGTGAAGGACACGCTTTATGGAGCAGACCTATAGTCCTTGCAGATGAGGGAAGTTGTGACCGCAGTTTATGTACGTTAAATTTGCCAGCATACTCCATATAACAAAGTTCCTTTGTAAAACAATGTCACAGTGACTATTTAAAGGTAGCGTCCATCATTTGTAACTTGTGCAATATGTTCGTTTGCAGCAACAAAAGTGCTCAAAAGGGTGCTGAACAACTAACCTGATGAAGTTTCAACTCAGTGAATGCTGTATATTCCTCGATCTCGATTTCAAATCAAAAAGTGCTGAGTTATGCTTTGAATTGGGCCTGAATTTAGCATCCGAGACACGTTCTCACAGTTCTCACTGAGCCGAATGCAGCTACGCGATGTCGCGCACGTACTGAACCGACGAATAATAGCAACGGCGCGCACGTTGGCGTCGAGTTAACGCTTGCGCGCGCTTCGCCAAATTAAAAAAAACGAACTACTAACGGAAATTCCCAACGGTGCGTCTTTAGACGCATCGTTGGAAAGACATTGTTACAACTGATAATGTAGTAACCAACGGAAAACGTATCACCAACCGATAATGTATCACAAATTGACTGATATTGTATCACTAACCGATAATGTAGCAAAAATTGACTGAATAGTGTAGTAAAATTTGTATCCGATAATGCATCACGTGTCGTCGGATAATGTAACTACAAAATAACTGTATCCGATAATGTATCACCACGGAACGGATACTGTATCAACCGATAAAGTATCAAAAATCAACCTATAATGTATCAGTATGGGGAAAAGGTGTACACAAATGTTTGTTTTATGTCCTATATATCCCGCCCCACTTTTTGACCGGGGAGGGGGCTCTAGGCTATTGGATCACCCCCCCCCCCCCCATTATTTCGTATTTAGAGAAAAAAAAGAAAGATTTTGAGGTATTTTCAAACTTTCCAACCGCCGAAATGTATTAAATAGTACTGTGAAAGGGAGAAAGGGTACAAAAAGCTTGAAATGTGCTGATACATTTGTATCATGAACAGCGCCCCCAGTGTCATGTGGTCTCGAGCCCCCCCCCCCCCCCCTTGTCCACATTTCGGCGCGGATGTGCGAGTGCGGTTCCCCCCCCCCCCCCCCCCCCCCCCCCCCGACATCAAAAGCTGGATACGCCACTATAGCCTACAATCCCGGCCAAATTGGTTGGAACACTTCCTGAGCCTGCCACGGTCACCCATTCCCCCGCTCCCCCGGTCAATGTTGTTCTCTCCAGCTGATGGAGCTACACCGCGCAATGAGAGACAACATTGAACGGGGGCCGGGGGTTGGGGGCCCAGCGAGATTTGGCCAGGATTGTAGGCCCACTTGGAAGTAGAGCGTCTCCAAACCAGAGCAACTCCCTCCCAAATTCAACCAAAAATATTCTTAATGATAAACTTTCTCGAGTGGGGACTTATCATAGTAAAGGCACTTATTAGACTTTAATTAATTTGCAATATTTCCACCACCTTTTCCCCATACTGATACATTATCGGTTGATTTTTGATACTTTATCGGTTGATACAGTATCCGTTCCGTGGTGATACATTATTGGATACAGTTATTTTGTAGTTACATTATCCGTCGACACGTGATACATTATCGGATACAAATTTTACTACACTATCAGTCAGTTTTTGCTACATTATCGGTTAGTGATACACTATCGATCAATTTGTGATACATTATCGGTTGGTGATACGTTATCCGTTGGTTACTACATTATCAGTTGTAACAGACATTCTTTCATTGATTTCCTCAAAATGACAGCTCGCTAGAAAGAATAATTTCACAGGGAGTTTAGTAGCATTACTATCTTTAAACCAAGTGTGCTTTTCAACAATAATTACGTCAGTTCTGTTTAGATAGCTGCCAATGATGGGCTGGACCTTTAATGTATGGCCTTTGGGTGCCAAGGCTGGCTTGGGTTTATCGTTGTTTACGCTTAAATGGTCTTCACCATGCCAACGAGGTAAATATTGTTTCTTAAATGAGAATAGCAAAGACCAACGCAGAGAAACATTTTGGCGCTTAAAACCTTCCATTAAGCCCCGCCCCATGATGTTTTGACCAATCACAATGGTGATTAATGCCCCGACATGCGTGCAGTTGCGTATGACGCACGCGTCAACGCGGCTGGAACGTGCAGTGTGTTTGTGTCGATGCCCACTTGCACTTGCAATGGGCGGGACTTAACCGATCGGTCTATTAAAAGTGACACCGTCAAATTTTACCAGACACGTCTCATTTGAGAGCCGAGTGTACACCTCAACCATCGCTGCAATGGCACCAATGAACAAGTCTTCAGATATTGGAATGGAAATGTTCGACCAAAGCAAACAGTCCAACAAGAATGCTGTGTTTTGGCGTTGGTTTGTGGCAGGGACACTGCTGAACCTGTGCATCACATCGGTCCTGGTTGGCCTGACTGTGTTCTACTTCCACACGGAGCTACAGTCAGTAAAGGTGAGTCATTTGTCAACCTGGATGTTTTGTTTTAATTTTGACATGTTTATCAAAATAGCGAAGAAATGAAATGAAATGAATGAAATGGGATTCATTTTATAATGACTGAGCTTAGACAAGTAAGGTTTAGGCTGCGTAAGTATTGCAATTATACAGGGTATTAAAGTAATGAATACTAATCTGACAAGGATACGTTAGTTCAATTTATCGACTTGAAACTGTCAGTGAGTTTGCATGTTATAAAGGCTAGTTTTGCAGCTCTACAGCCCCTACGTCATTGATGAGTGAGTTCAAATAATTCATGTAATTCCTGTGCTGCTAAATGTCGGCACTCAGGGAAC